TTTACGACAAAAGTGAATACAATTTGTTTTGGATTTTGAAAACTTAAAGCCATTTTCATTGGCCCACTTTTGGATTTTGTTTAGGTAGAGCTGTAGCTGCCTTTCTATTGCGTGTATGTTCTTACCACGGCATGAAATATTGAAATCATCCACGAAAAGGGACCCATCAACACAACTGTTCAAGACGTTAGTGAGGCTGTTAATTTTGATGCTGAAAAGGGTGACAGATAGAATGCTGCCTTGAGGGACGCCATGATCTTGGTGGATATATTCAGACAATGTGGAACCAACCCGTACTTGAAATTGTCTGTTGTTTAAAAAATGAGATATGAACTAAGGTAATCTACCCCTCAATCCAAAGTCGAAAAGATAGATACAGTATGTTGTTTGTTGACAATGGAATTTTTGATAAATGATTCCAGACGCACCAGATGGTCAATGGTACTTCGGTTCTTTCGGAACCACATTGGAGGTCACTAAGGAGGTTATTGGTGTCCAAGTACCAGATTAATCGATTGTCGACCATGCGCTCCATGGTTTTACAAACACAGCTAGTTAGTGATATAGGACGGTAGTTTGAGGGATCAGTATGATCCCGGCCAGGCTTTGGTATAGGGATGATAATGTCATTGTGCCACGAAGGAGGAAAGTTGATTTTGGACACATATTTCCTCCATGATCGACGTTTAGTTTGTTTGAAGGTATGTCTTGCCCTGGCATGTGTCAGTTTAACTGCATTCAGGTTATGTACAGTAGGATGTTGTCGGAAGTATTTTTCCGCCTTCTTCCTATTTTTTCTAGCTTGTTTACAGTTTGTATCAAACCATGGTTTGCGTATGTGCGGTTTTGCAGAGGACTTAGGGATGGTTTCGTCCCCAATAGCTTTTAAGATATCAGAAAATAGTTCCATGGGATCAGGAACATTCCTGAAGTTGTCCGGTATAAGTTTTTCAGAGCAGAGAGTTTGGAATAATGGCCAATTGGCCTTAATAAAATTTCATCTTGTTGAAGAGGGTTCATCCGCGGGATTGATAGGAGTAAGAATAGTTCGGAAGTGGTCACTTCCACAAAGGTCATCGTGGACTGACCATTCAAACTCGTTTAAGAGATTAGAATCCGTAAATGATAGATCAAGTGCAGCGTATGTTCCAGTGGCAGGATGGAGATAGGTGTTTGATCCATCGTTGAAGATGCATAGATCAATATTGGAGAAAATATCTTCAAGGACCTTTCCCTTGTTGTTTGTATCGGTACTCCCCCATAGGGGGTATGACCGTTCAAGTCGTCCATGATTATGCAGGGTTTCGGGAGTTGGTCATACAAGTTCTGAAGATCTGATAGGTGGATAGTTGAGGAAGGAGGAAGATAGAGTGAACATAGTGTAAACCCTATGTTCAGAGTCATGCTAGCAACAGTTTGAAGGGGGGTGTTTAGTGGAACAGGGCTATGGAGGATGCCCAGCCTCACCAGGATAGAAGTGCCTCATGTAGCTTTACCGGGGGGAGAAAGGGAGTGGTAGGAACTGTACCAACGGATGTCAAATTTCTCAATTCTTTTCAGGTAGGTTTCTTGGAGACAAAACGCGGATGGTTTCAAGTCTTGGATCAATAACTGTAGTTCATTAAAATTATTCTTAAGTCCTCTGCAATTCCATTGAATCATGTTTTGTGGATTCATGGTGCTTCCACTGGTGACATGTCACGTGAACGTGAGGAAGCGTTTGAAGTACTCCTATTGGTGTCAGGTGGAGATGGAGTGACCTCCATATCCAGAGGACCAAAGGAGTTATGGACCTCGACAGGGACCTCTGAAGGAGAGGTGGCCTTTGTTTTTTGGTTTGGCAGTTGCTCAAGCTGCTTTAGTCACTGTAGTTTCTTTTCTTTTCTTTTTTGGCGCACAGTTTCCGTTTCTGGCTTTGGCATTGGTTCTGGTGTTTGTGATTCAGAAGTTTTGACTTTTGGTTTTGGAGATGAAGGGGTTGAGACAGGTTGAGAAGATTTTGACCGATGTCAGATCCGTTTGACATGAGATAGTTGCAGTAGTGGGAGAAGGGCGAGAGACGGCAGAAGAGTAAGTGATGGTTGAAGGGATACAGTTAAACGTGCAACCCTCTGCTTAGCTTCATGAAATGAGACATTTTCTTTGTGCTTGATCTTTATGATTCCTGATTCGCGTTGCCACACGGGACAAGATTTGGAAGAGGTCATATGGTTGCCACCGCAGTTTGCACACTTCACTTCCATAGTACAGTCATTGCCCTCATGCTTGTCACCACAGCTGTAACAAACAGCAGAGGAACGACAGGACTTGGATCCATGTCCAAACTTTTGGCAGTTGTAGCACCGGAGTGGATTGGGGACATACACCTCCACACCAATGCTACAATAACCAGCTCTAATCGATTCAGAAATCTTCGATCGGGCGAACGTAAACAGATAGGTGTTTGTTGGTTGAACAACACCGTCCTTCTTGATGGTGAATCTCTTCACAGCTGTGACAGGCTGCTGGGAAGGTCCCTGGACAATTTGTTCCTCAGTCATGTCAGACAGGCATCGAGCTCTGTCCCGTACAATGCCAGTACTCGTGTTCAGTGTTTTGTGCGCCGAGACAGCAACCTTTACAGTGACAAACTCTTGTTATTTCAGTAGATTCAAGGATTGCTATCTCCAAGCACATTCTACAAGGAGAGAACCGGACCGAAGCTTTGTTACATTGGCAACCTCTCCGCAGATACCTTGGAGACAGCAAATGGGTTCAATTGCAGTGGTTGCTTGTGACACGTTTCAATGATTAAGAAACGTGGCCAGTAATCAGGTCGAGGGGGCGTACTCTCGTCACACGAGGAATTGTCAGAATCCATATGTCTTCGTTTAGAACCGGGGTGTTGGGAAGCCATTTCGTAAGGAATGTGATTCGGCATCCCCTCTCCCAAACCACCATGGCGTGTCAACAAGGACGATCTTATACTTCAGCGGATCTCCAAGCTGCAAAGACCGAGGATAAGGGGGTGTTATACTCCAGCGAATTTGACATGAAATACCGTAGCTGTCTACCAGATTAAAGGTCAGGATGGTTCGGTCCATGACAAATAATTGGAGACGTGCAGAAATCGGAGGTCAGCATCACCAGATTGGCCCATGAGCCGGGTCTGCAATGCTATTGGTTTGGGCAGAATATCAGTTAAAATTTTGAACATGTCCAAAAGCGTTTTATAGTACCAAATTTTGTGGAAACATTCCGTGCACAGGGCAAGGCGTGACCAGCCGATTGGTAGAATCGGACCTATTCTACCATCCGTCTAGGCAAAGTCTGGTTCCGTCATCCTCAACCACCAGACTCCCTTCCTCTGCCGACACAGGGGCGCAACTGGAGTAAACAGATCGATATTTTGTGATAAAACGTTCTCAAACCTTCACTGAAATCAATTTCTAACTTTACTTTAATTGCGTGACTGTAACTATCACTGCCCAGAGCTGTTTATCAGGTGTGTATCGTAGCAGGACGTGGAGTCATCCGATAGAGGGCCATCCTTACCCCGGTAGCTTGCTGATGGGTTTAACCTCTTTAGTCATGTGGACAAGGCATCTGACTTCGGATCAGAAGGTCAATGGTTCGAATCCTTGCATGGGACTCGGATTTGTATGGTATCTACACATTGAAACACAGATCCCGTGTGTCGTCAAAAATCATGACAACAGCAGTGGTCTCCGTGAGGTGGCCACATTCAATCTGGCGATTAACATAAACTCACCCAGATCTTATATCAATGAACCTATTAACTATTAGTCGGCCAGCAATGTGCTTGGGGTAATCCACCAACCCACCCAGCCACGCATGCACGCATACACACATACACACACAGCCAGACAGAGGCGCCAGCGCACACACAAACACACATACGCGAACGCAAGGACACGCACACACACACGCGCACACACACACACACACACACACACACACACGCACGCGCACACACACACACACACACACACACACACACCGCCCATAAACTGACGCTGTTTGGGGTGTCCATGATTGTACTGTATGCACTACTTTCACATTGAAACATGAAAACACTCTGATCATAGGCGGATCCAAAGTGGGGGTTAATTAAATGACCTTTGAAAATCTCGTGAATACGGGTGAAAATTAACTATGCAACACCCTTTCTGAACTGTGCACACTCCCTCTTCCCCCCACTGCCGATGCGATGTAAAATTTTAACTCACTTACTTACTTTAATGTGAAGCTAAACGATATACAGTTTTTCCACAGCACGAGATGTTGGTCACGTGACCGGCGAATCTGACGTTCATGAAGCTTAGTGTTGAGGCCTGAACAACATTCATACGTTTACCACGAGACTGTATTCTGGAAAGGACGTAAATACAGACGGACTACTTTCACATTGCAGAGTAATCCCAAGGATGCCTAAATGTATACATGGAAAACCGCACCTATGATTTCTAAGCGAAATTAGCGCCAAGCAGAACTTGCCATAAGGCAAACCGGTTGAAAGTATATTAAGCAAAACGATCCATATTTCAATGGTTTATACTTGGGAGTTTTGTTTCCATAAAATAGGATAATCCAGGACATAAACATACTTATTACACAGCATAAAGGGGGAAACAGCAAATATAATGATAGAGGTTCATGATCATTCGTGAATAGAATCCTCGGGATGCGTACGTAAAATCATTTTATTTCTGCTGGGGAATGTAAGGGAAGTAACTCGTTACACTTCCTGTACAGGACCCAAGGATTCACAATATTGTTTGATTCACTGGTGGGTATGTGGTTTGTATCAAGATGTTTTAGTGAGAACTCAGTCTGTTCAGGTGATCACGTAACACCTGTTTGGACTGCTTGATAAATGTACCATATACTAAAGCGTCAGCAAACAGTAACAGACTGGTTTTGCTAGCGATGACTTAGGGAAATGGTATTATCACCATTGATCACAGTTGAAGGGGTCGTCGTCGGCACGCGATGCTGTGCTATACAGTCAAGACATGACACTGCATCATGACTGTATAGAACCGCAACGCGGCTCTCGGGTATACAGGTGTGTACCCAAGGTATGTTTCTGTATTTTGACTTTGTTTAGGTTATATTTCTGTAGATACAAATACGTACCTGGGTACTGACAATGACCCCTTGAGCGCATCTGTATCTTTACATCACACGTTTAAAATACAGTCAAATCCCGATGAGTCGAATGCCGGTGTCTCGAATATTATGCATAACTCGAAGTACCTGTCGGTCCCGACCATTCCCTGTTATAGTTGTCATCATTTGAATACCGGTTACACAAATTCGTCTCATAAATACACACGATGACTCGAAAAGGAAATTTGGTCCCATGAGATTCAAACAACAGCAATCTTGTATACATAAGCCGAAGTCAGTCAATGAGAAGTTGATTGGTGTAGCAAACTGATCCAATTAACAAACCAGCACGGCTCACACCTTTCCGTCATTGACGGGTGAGTTCAAAAGGCAGATTAGTGCTAATCAGACTGGAACTGATAAGGTGCCCCTATTAGTTATATGGAAATCATTAAATAAACAAATGCTTAGGCAGAGAAATTAGGACTGGATCATCTTTTTTCTAACCTCATAGGCATACTTATGTCTCGAATACATCGATAAGTCGAATTTATAACTTTGTCCCCAGCGATTCGACTCATCGGGATTTGACTGTATGTTATATTTGGGATTTCAAACCATATTGAACTTTTGTGCTGGCTATAAATGGTAATATCGATAAAGTTTTGTGTGAACCAATCCTACTGATAATTGTTTAACTGTCTGTACTTTACAGCATGTCACAAAAACAAACGCTTAATCTGAACATGCAAAAGGAAGGCATAAGAGTGTAAGTTACACCATGTATTATTTGTTGTCTGACTACGGTTGGGGTTGGGGTGGGGATAGAGATATCAGCTAAGATAAGATAATCCTTTAGGGGAACTGTACCGGGGAAGTACCCAGCTTGTCATAACAATTTACAAATAATATCCAGTCCTGTCGATCTTCATGTGGTCATGCCACCTATATATTTTGAGACATTTAATACGATGCTTTTCTATGGTTATCAGGTGTCATACTCTTTTACATATCTCAACATAAACTTCATGAAAGAAAGACACTTAAGACATGAATTTATAGATGAGACATATTCAACACACAAGAAAAAGCACAAAATATCTTTGACATGACCCCTTGTGCCTGAAGGCAGCACATGCATTTCATGCCAGGTGAGTCGACGGTCCGTCATCATACCTGGCTGAGCGACCTAATTGCCATCTATTGTCTGATCTATTGTTTTCAGCAGCTATTCGTAGTTTTTCTAAGTTTTGCCCAATTTTACGAGTAAACATGCTCTTTTGGATACCCTCTTACACATCCCTCTGAATGCCCAGTTAGGCTGAAGTGGGTTATTTCAACATATGCTATTTGCAGTTGTGTAAATTAAAAAAAAAGTTGTTTAACAAACGATCATTATTTTGTTGTCACTTTTCGCTATTTCTTACGAGAGAGGACCACTTGCTGGTAGAACGGCCAGGTGTGCGAGTTGTATGTGTGAAATTGAAATTTCACTGCACCGGCTTGTTGATTACCTGGCTGTTTGACAGTTCCATACGGCACAAGGTGGAATGGACTTGTCCAAGGTAGCACATCTGTAGTACCTGTGCTGACAACAACCCCTTTTACAGCATTAGAAGTTGGTGTAATGAACAAGGGGATACTTCAATGGACATACAACTTCATTATTACAATGTATGTAATATTTCAGTGTACATTCTAACTCCTTTATCAAGCATGTGATAATTTTTCAACATCAGGAGTACGTACTCCTTATTTTTTCAACTTAAGAGTACATTTAGAGTACTGAATGGAATTTAATGGAGTATCAGTAATATTGTGTTTCGTTTCATATATGCACCACATCATTGCTAGGCTTGTGTAAACAGGTCAATAAACAATAAAACAATACTTTTTCAGATAAATACGTCTGTAAATGATGTTAAGACCGTACACCATTGTTGTGGAGCGTATCTGCTACATTTCCTAAATTATTTCCTATCATATCGTGCATATTTTGTATCCATACATAGGCCGATACGGCCTTTATCTGGAGCCCTGATGTGGTAATTCGATCACTTGCTTGGGAATGGTGTTAGCATCTACACCAAAACGCCACATATATTGTGATGTAGAAGCTGTATATACAGAGAACTATCCCCCCATGTTCGTCATGTAGATTTATTGATAATGATTAGCCATATAACCCTCCAGCATGTCCTGTCTACTCAACAATCCACTTGTCAAATAAGGCTGTTAGGATTTACTTGTGTATTCAGTGAATCGAACCATATCCCTTCATGAACCCCTTTTATTCACGATCACCCACCGCCTCCGTGGTTTAGTGGTTAGAGCCTCCCCCGGGGAGCGGAAGGTCGCGGGTTCGATCCCCAGCTGCGTCATACCGAAAGACGTTAAAATATGGTACTTGTTGGTCCCTGCCTGGCGCTCGACATAAAGGGTACAGTTTAATGTACAGGGCTACAGATAAGGGGCGTACAGGCGTAATGTACGCCTCAAAATGAATTAAGTACGACATAATATAAGATTTCAAGTGTATCGTGTACGCACATAAATACCTTTGTACGTCTAACATTTAATTTCCGTACGTATCGTGCAAATGGAAATCTATTTCGGATAAATACTTGGCAAGTTTCCTTTGCGAAACACGATTTGACACATGAGGAAACCCCGACAGTAGGAATCACTTGCGTTGCCACGCAACGATATGCATCACTATTTTTCGATTGGCTAAAAACTACACTGTTCCTATTTATATCCAGTCGGACCGGACATTTCGTTCATCACACGGTCGCTCAGTTATTTCTCACGCGTCTTCCAATACAAATACATGGTTGGAAATAGTGTCGATGAATCATCCAGACAAACCTTCATCACCAACTCGCTCACATAAAAACATGTCAGTACAAAATTCTCAGTACACCTCCACTTGCAATATGATGTGTAAGTACACTCGCACCCCCAAAAGTTATCTGGAGCCCTGGTGTATCTGAGTGGGGTATTCATGCTTCACTGCGGTGTGGTGTCTCAGTGAGCTAGAGTGGGGTATTCATACTTAACTGCGGCATGGTGTCTCAGTGAGCTAGAGTGGGGTATTCATACTTAACTGCGGCATGGTGTCTCAGTGAGCTAGCACTGAGTACTAGCACTATAAAACAAGCTTAATTCTGGGCTGGTACAAGCAGCCGCACATACACACGCATTCAGGTCGTTATATGAACGAAATATTACGATGTACATACTATCAAGTACAGCGTTAAACCCCATGTCACCTCACCTCACCTCACGATCACTGGTATGGAATATTCAAGAATATTTTATATAGGTGATTTGGGTTGATATTGACCCAAATTAAATATATCCAAGGTAGGCATGATAATACTCAACACTCTTTATATACGTATATATGTATTCTATTTGACAGTAATGTGATCATTGTCATGATAAAGTAACAATGTCAACATGGTCAAACATGTCATATAGTCTTTTTTAAATTGTTTGATTATAGCAGATCAGTTCTGAACAACAATGGCAAGGCAATATTAATTTAGCACTGAGGTGATTGTAAACCGCTGTTAGTGTATGGGAGATAGATCACCTTAGCACTGAGGTGATTGTAATCCGATGTTAGAGTATGGGAGACAGATCATCTTAGCACTGAGGTGATTGTAAACCGATGTTAGTGTATGGGAGATAGATCACCTTAGCACTGAGGTGATTGTAATCCGATGTTAGAGTATGGGAGACAGATCATCTTAGCACTGAGGTGATTGTAAACCGATGTTAGTGTATGGGAGATAGATCACCTTAGCACTGAGGTGATTGTAAACCGATGTTAGTGTATGGGAGACAGATCACCTTAGCACTGAGGTGATTGTAAACCTATGTTAGTGTATGGGAGATAGATTATCTTAGCACTGAGGTGATTGTAAACCGATGTTAGTGTATGGGAGATAGATCACCTTAGCACTGAGGTGATTGTAAACCGATGTTAGTGTATGGGAGATAGATCACCTTAGCACTGAGGTGATTGTAAACCGTATGTTAGTGTATGGGAGATAGATTATCTTAGCACTGAGGTGATTGTAAACCGATGTTAGTGTATGGGAGATAGATCACCTTAGCACTGAGGTGATTGTAAACCTATGTTAGTGTATGGGAGTTCAGGTCACCTTAGCACTGAGGTGATTGTAAACCTATGTTAGTGTATGGGAGATAGATTATCTTAGCACTGAGGTGATTGTAAACCGATGTTAGTGTATGGGAGATAGATTATCTTAGCACTGAGGTGATTGTAAACCGATGTTAGTGTATGGGAGATAGATCACCTTGGCACTGAGGTGATTGTAAACCGATGTTAGTGTATGGGAGATAGATCACCTTAGCACTGAGATCGCTTTGTGGAGTAGGGCCCTGTACATCATTGAACCCATGATATGGGTCTTGTTGCACACCTATCTTAGCACTAAGGTAATCCCATTGGCATTCTTTAAAATAGGCTTGTGACAGTTGCAGCACAACGGGCTTTTCTTCATCCTGTCTTGTTGATGGGGTATTAACAGAACACTGTCATGCTACTGGAATATTGGACTGTGGGGCTAATCCAGATGCAACAAACTTGTCTTTTTCCATTGTTAAACAATTGTTGATGTGTTGCCATGGTTTCAGATACATCTGACCAGAGCCATGGATCCTGAGCTGCTCAAGGGAAGGACTAAGTTTCTTCAACGAGCCAAGGCTCAGCCATCTGTAGAGAAGAGAAAGCACAAGGCTGATGAAAATGAACACAAGTCCAAAAAGCAGAAGATCAAATCATCGACGCCCAAACCCAAACGTAAGCAGTGTTAATTCAACAGCTTCTTTGTTCTTCCATTAAGTTACAATCTAATACATCCTGTAACGCTGGCTAGTTCCGGTTCCTCACTACTCGCTCAAGAGATGTTCCCAGCAGCCCCAGTGCCCAAGGAACCAGCCTAGCAAATGATACATTATCGACAAGTAGGGGCAGTGGGTTAGTCTAGTGGTTAAAGCGTTCACTTGTCATGCCAAAGACCCGGGTTCGATTCATGGGTACAATGTTTGAAACCCAGCGGTATTGCTGGAATATTGCTAAAAGCGGTGTACGATACGCACTCATTCATTGCTTCACTCTGGAATTAGACACCACTAACCAATGGCAAATAAAGCGCCCGTAAACTATATTGAAGGAGGCTTGTGGAAGCAGTATTCTTCCATTGGAGTTTATCGACCCATTTCCAGGGATACAGTTGACTTAATTCTTAATTCTTTGCGACAATTTGAATGTGTGCTGTATATGATCGAAGCAGATCAGTGATGAAATCATTCACCACTCGCTCAAGAGACGTTCCCTGCAGCCCCAGTGCCCGAGGGTCCAGCCTAGCAGACGATACCTTATCAACAAGTAGGGGCGGTAGCCTGGTAGTCACGCCTAACACCTGGGTTCGAAACCCTGCATGGGTACAAGGTGTGAAGCCCATTTCTGGTGTCCCCTGCGTAATATTGCTGGAAAATTGCTAAAAGCAACATAAAACCAAACACACTCACCCACCCCCATTCACTCACTCACCTCCATTCACTCACCCCCATTCACTCACCCAACCACCCATTCACTCACCCACCCCCCATTCACTCCCACCCACCCACCCACTCCCCACCCACCCATCCATTCACACCCACCCACCCCACCCATTCACTCACCCACCCACCCATTCACTCACCCACACCCATTCACTCACCCACACCCATTCACTCACTCCACACCCATTCACTCCCCACCCCCATTCACTCACCCACCCACCCACCCATTCACTCCCCCATCCATTCACTCACCCACCCATTCATTCACTCACCCACCCATTCACTCCACCCACCCCACCCCCACCCATTCACTCACCCACCCAATCACTCACCCACCCATTCACTCACCCACCCCCATTCACTCACCCACCCACCCATTCACTCACTCAGGAAAAAACGTAAATATTGATTATTCCTCCCTGTCCCTGATACACACTCTGGAAGTTCCAGGTAAAAGCAGGGCCCCGTTTCTCAAAGCTCTCATAAGCCTAAGATCTCTTTTCTCGTAGCATTCATACTTCCTATACTAAAACATTGACTTATGATAGTCGTAGCGTTATTAGAACTTGGTGAATTGGGGCCCAGGTCCACAGCAATATGTGCTTGTCATAAGAGAAAGCTATATGGTTCTGGTGGAGCATCGCTCATGATATCTGTCACTGGCTTGTGTGGTCCAGACTCGATTGTTGACAGTTTGTCATCGTATAGCTGGGATATGTGACTGTCAATAGTGTAAGCATGATGGCTATGCAAGCCGAAACAGGTTTTCTCTCTCATGACTTTTAGTCAAGACAGACTGGATCAACTACGGATAGGAAGGGAAGATTTCCACTTGATCACATTCATAATGCTTCAGTTGGATGAATCATAAACAAGACGTTCTTATAACTTTACTCAGGTAGCTAGACATAATTGTCTTTATGCTTCAACGTTTCGCTGCTTTGGTAATTTGTTTTCCCAAACCAGAGGTGATGTTACAAAACAGAAAGTGCAGTTAGTTCTCTAGAAGTATCCGGGTTAGAATTGGTTTTCAGCAACCCATGCTTGTCTCCCTGTGATGATTTGGGTTAGAATTGGTCTTCAGCAACCAATACATGTCTGCCTGTGAAGATCTAGGTTAGAATTGGTTTTCAGCAACCCATGCTTGTCTCCCTGTGAAGATACAGGTTAGAATAGAATTTGTCTCCCTGTGAGTCTTCAGCAACCCATACTTGTCAGGTCTTCAACTGTCTCCCTGTGAAGATACAGGTTAGAATTGGTCTTCAGCAACCCATACTTGTCTCCCCTGTGAAGATACAGGTTAGAATTGGTCTTCAGCAGCAACCCATACTACTTGTCTCCCTGTGAAGATGTTAGAAGATACAGTCTGCTTAGAATTGGTCTTCAGCAACCCATACTTGTCTCCCTGTGAAGATACAGGTTAGAATTGGTCTTCAGCAACCCATACTTGTCTCCCTGTGAAGATACAGGTTAGAATTGGTCTTCAGCAACCCATACTTGTCTCCCTGTGAAGATACAGGTTAGAATTGGTCTTCAGCAACCCATACTTGTCTCCCTGTGAAGATACAGGTTAGAATTGGTCTTCAGCAACCCATACTTGTCTCCCTGTGAAGATCCAGGTTAGAATTGGTCTTCAGCAACCCATACTTGTCGTAAGGGGCAACAAACCGGATCATGTGGTCAGACTCACTGACTTAGTTGACACATGTCATTGTATCCCAATTGCGTAGATCGATGCTTATGATGTTGATCACTGGATTGTGTGGTCCAGACTTATTATTTACAGACCGCCGCCATATAGCTGGAATATTGCTGAGTGTGGCGTTAAACATCAAACAACCGACCTGAAGCAGGGTTTACATTGATCAACAAAATCAGGTGTCCCTAGAACGACCGCTTGCTAATTTCCGTGAAATACGGGGGTCCTGTAGAATGATGGAATGATGTACCAGACTCTACTGTAAGGTTTAATGAATACATTATTTTTCCTTATCCTGACTCATGCTCTTTTGCTTTTGCAAACATAGTGGAACACTTGTATCTCCCTAATTGAAGCTCCCTTCAATGTAAAATCACTAATTAGTACACACCAAGAGTTGCCTCCCTTTGCCTTTGCGCGGGAAAGGCGGCGCCACCTTCTGGCCTCATGCTTCACTCTCTCCTTCTTCGCCCAGTGAGCAGGATGTGAGAGCGCCTGTGTCTCCCTACACACTATATCCTTTGGTTATTCTTAGTTAGTTACCTCTTATAGTTTACTATAGAGGTGTAGCTAGTATCCTTCATTAATATGTATTGATAATTATTCATATTTCTACTGTTTATTCACGGGATTTCGTGATTGTTCAGCTAGTTTACGTTGATGAAAATCTGTACTATTTGTAGATTACGTTTTTCTGCTGCTGACCCGCATTTAATATGCCCTAGCTGTACTACGCCTTGTGCGTTTTCTTCACGTTGCAGTTACTGTATTAATCTATCTAATTCTGCATTTAATAAATATCATCTTTGCGTCTTGAGACGTGCAGCAGATAGGTCACGCAAACAAGGTTTAGACATGGCCGATACATCGGACCCCCTAGCCAGTCAGCTGCTGTCGGACGACCCCCTCCCGTCTGGTGTTCCGCTAGAGTTTCCCTCGGAGGAGGGGCGTGGGATGCAGTCCGCCGTCTCCAAGAAGCGTCCTGCTTCCCCAGACATCCCGTCATCGCAGCCAAAGTCTAAGAGGGCCTCGACATCTACTCAACGCAGACTCCGTACCCCCAGGGAAGCGTCTACCTCCAAGGGGAAATCTACGAAGTCTTCAAGAACCTTCTCAGCCGAGATTGTTCCAGCGGCTGAACTGGGCCTGTATGATGATCAGCCGATCATCATACCCGATCTACGCCACAAGAGACGACCGGTGTCGGCAACAGTTACGTCAGCACAGATCGCGATGCAGCCTGATGTGTCTACACCGATGTCGGACGATCTTCCTGAGGGCCCCGTCGCTAACATCGCAGAGAGGGCACCGACTACATCATCACAGACCGTCCCAGACGACCTGATGCGGCAGATCATGAAGATGATGGAGGACCGTTACAGACTGGAGAGACAACCAGCCCAGAACCTGAGCCTTCACGAAGGCTCCAACGTAGACGACATCCCAGAGGGACCCCCCGTCAACGTAGCGGCCACGACTAAGCCACCTCCGCGAAGGAAGTCACAGACCACCTCGACGAAGGACCCAGATGTACAGCCTGCGCGAAGGGCTTCTAGATCATCACCTACCTCGGACTCTGATGATCAACACTCACATAAAGGCTCGAGAAGGAAGATCACCTCATCCCTGGATTCGGACTCAGACCCCCAGACTTCACGAAAGCCTTCGCGAAGGTCAAGTCGTCGCTCCCCAGGACCGGACGCAGATGAAGCTTCGCGAAGGTCTTCACGAAGGGCACCAGTAACAGGCTCTAAGTCATCTTCGTCCAGAAGGTCATCCAGGGATTCCACAAGGGCTTCGCGAAGCTATCAACATTCACCTCACAGATCTCCGCGAAGGTCAACCTTTAGACGCAGCTCGTCAGGCCGTTCACCAAGACGATCTCCTCGCCATTCTCCATGCCGATCACCTCGCCGTTCGCCTCGCCGATCTCCTCGTAGATCACCACGTCGATCTCCTCGCAGGTCACCACACAAGTCTTCACAGAAGTCCCAAGTCAGGTCTCCTTTAACGTCACCCTGTACAGCGGTAGAAGCATATAGCCCACCATCAGAAGAGCATCAACCTCTTATCAGCGATCCCATTGTAGAAGATGATGGAGGCATCATTTTCTCAGACGCTGAGATACGTTATTAGATGGTTAACAACCTAGACCTATCTTCACCTTCCAAGAGTGGTAACTCGGCGCATACTTACCTGATGAAGGAGGACGATGCAGACGCCATCACCTTACCTCCGATCGACCCGATTGCTACGGTGCCACAGAATTTGGACACAGCCTTCCATAAAGCCACTAAAGTCCAAACGCCACACCTACCGCAGTTTCACCCTAAGAAGTTCTCAACCCATAATATGGACCCCTTCCTCAAGGCACAAGACATCGATGATAATTACACAAAGTGATCAACGATGTCAAGAATAAGAACTATAAGATTGACGATCGCAAGCTGGTTCAGATAGAAACCATGACAAGGCGAATGTTCTTTGACATTAATAGATCTAGAACGATCAATGAGACTCTTATCACCAGATTTCGA